AGCAAATGGCAATCTGACCTTAAATTGTTATTTTTGTTCATGGCTAAAGGGACACCCGCCCGTTGAGGTCGTTTAAAGTCTACTTTTCATAAAAACTAAAGGGATAACCGCAAATCTGAGAGCTTGTGCATGCGTATTGGTTATAGGTATGCTGATCTGACAGAACATCGGCAGCACATAGTGCTGCACGCTCTCCCTGAAGGCCTCCATTAAACCGTCTGGAATAAACTGTGAAGGTCTGCAGCGAAGGGGCCTGGCAGTGCTGGTCTCTAATTAAACTTTACTTCATGTTAGTCTATCATTCAAAATCCTCATTTTAATACAAATGCATATTTTTTTAACAAACTTTCATTTTTCATACATGTTTCAGTGTTTCATTTATAAAATCCTTCCCAATCCCACATTTCTCTTTACTTTACTGCAACTTTAAGTCGTTCTCTTGAGTTTTTTTCCTAATGTTGAACATCTTCCAACTGGTTCTCCTCTCTGACAGACTGATCTCCGTCTAATAAATTTAAATGAGCAGATGGAACAAGCTGGAGCATCGTCGCTCGACTTGATCAAAGCAAATTGCTCTCTTGAAGTGCTTTGTAATTAATTCATTTCTAAAATCAATAACATCTATTTCACCTCAGCGCGGCTGCTGAGAGGGATGGCGACGGAAAGATGAAAGGACAAAGCAAAGAAAGACGGATGACGGAGAGAAAAAGGAGAGCTGGAAAACGAGCGGGGCCACCGAGAAACACAGAGTGAATAAATCAATGAGCGACTTGTGTGCGGTAATGTAGACGGATGTGTTGGTGCTCGTCGACAGAATGAATAAATGATCAAATAAGGCAGAGAGAATAAATGAAGGGCTCATTAAGTCAGCAGGCTGATGGATGAAAGAGGAAGACGGGAGCAAGCGGGCGACGACGCTTCGACCTTCTGAGCGGTGTACGGCGGCGCTGAGGCGTTAGGCGGATGGAAGAGGAGAGACATGGATCCAGTTTAATGAATAATCAATCCGGCAGGAGCGTGAGAGGGACTGACCTTTCTCTCCGAGGTGATGTACAGGTGTTGGAGGCTGGAATCCAACAGAAGGTTCTTGTTGACCTTGCCTCCCGTGACTTCGCTCGACATCCGCTCGTACATTTCGGGATGAGCCGACAAATGCACCTTCAGCAACTGCAGAGAAAAAACCCAAAACTTATCCTGCTTCCATCCACCTGAAATCCACAAACTCTCATCCTACAGTAAGCGTCCGAGATGGCAAAAGTACTCACTTTCCGTACTTGAGTAAA